AAAGTCCATTGGTATAACTTGTCTATAACTTTTTAGATTACCACTGAAATACATTTTTCTTTGGTAAGAGACGAGAATAAATAAAGCACTTTTAGATCACCGGCAAAAAGTAAAGTTTTGCCGTGTTGAAAGAGTGAGTACACGCCATTGATGAAAAGGAGAATGATTGATGGCCCAATCACACTTCCTTATATAAACTCACTGTTCACATTGAAAGATGCCACAAGTATTTGGATTTTGACAACGCCTTAACTAGAAACAAAATTGTTATCCGAAATGTGACAACCCATTCAAACCAAAAGTCAGAAACGAAGGGGGTGGGAGATATATTTGGTAGACCATCTATATATCGAGAAGTGATCAATGTAAGCTGTCTAATGGTCGTAGGAGATGTGAAGCACGGCGTACCCACTCGTGATCTGGTGCGTATGCGTGACCAAGCACCTTTAGCTAGTTGAGTGCATTGAGACTAATTCGGTCAGAGTCAAATGCCGGAGACTTACAGAACTATTGATTTCGGGGGTTTATTTACCGCTACACATTCATAGGCTTAGGGTAGCGAGATCCAAAGCGGATGCTTTGACTACATTCTGCTAAAGAAGAGCTGAGCCACGATAAAATGGTATTCCATATGCAAAATGAAGAAAATTTTAAAAGAAGGCTGTGTGAGACTCTGTCGTTGGACTTACTAAAATCGAAGTTCAGAATTGTTACTGACTGGTCAACATCTTTTTTCTGGTCAATTTCATTTTAAAAATCCAAGTGCGACGTGAAGCACGGGCATCTAGTCATAAAGCTCTGTTGAGATAGACGAATCAGTTTTTCTGAAAGTAAAAACGATAATAGCTGCTTGTGGATTATTTTGTAGAATTATCTTATACCAGGATATTAGTACTGCTTTAATAATATACCTTATCCTGAAATTGTACATTTGTCATGATGTAACTGCCTAATCTATAAGATATTACGTGGAAGTCACACCATTGTCCACACTGGCTCATCGTATCTTAACAATTACCAATATATGATGGAGAACTCATTCAGGCCGGAGAAAGAACAATATATTTAGTATGAGTATAAGATATGAGGTATCATTCAACAGGGACCACGCCTGCAAGGCCTAGCCGCGCCATCCGATCAACTCGGATCAATTCAATTCATTGTTCCCGCCTTCTCCATCGTTGGGTGTTTCTCCGTGTTAAACGTTGAATATCTAGTTTCCCAATTGTCTCTTGTTCAGCTTTGATGATTTTGTGATTAGAACCCAGTGCCACTACAATTTTTCTACGTCTCTCGATAGCACGGGTGTTTAGTTAATGGGCTTATAGTTAATAATATCGCTACATAACCCTGTTCTGAATCCAAGGGTGATAAGCGATGTTCTCCAGCCACCAGAAGAAATAGAAAGGGTGAGAGTAATCACCCTTTCTGACTGGGGTACTCACTTGGAATGCATTCGTCAGCTGTTCTCCATGCATAACTTTGCATTTTAGTCCGTCTTATCAATTCCGGATGATGATGTTCTTCTCAGCTACTCAATCCAGTATGTCGAAGAAGGTTCGACAAGGTTATCTTATCCATGTGGTCAAATACCTACTAATAGTCCATGAAGTTGATGCATGGTGACGAGTTTTACCCAACTGATTGTTCAGTGATGATCCATAGTTTCGCGTCATGGTTTGAGCACGAACGGCTCTAAAGTAATTCGGCCTGTTGATCTAGAAGCTTGACGTCCGATTCAGTAAAACTTTGTTGACGTTTCCCGGTACTGATAGTAGTGTTATTTCTCTGCAGTTCTAACATTTTCACTGTTATCTTTTTTTTCGGTATGTTGATGAGATATCTTTCTTTCCAGTCCGTCGGCACTTCTGCCTCATCCCAAATCTTCCTGAATAGAGCGCGGAGTATGTTTGAATATTTTGTTGTGTAATTTTGCTCCCGACAGCTAAGGATCGTATGGCTAATCCAACTACATATGTCTGTGTGCACCACCCTTTCGAAAGATACGGTGGTACAAGCTTTTGAGTGCATGTGCTCGATTTGCTTCTCCGGGTCTGCAATTGTTAAGTTGTGCATGACTGTTTACTTCCGAACGTTAGCTCGTTAGTACGCTAAACACTCTCGCACACGTTGTCATATGCTGCAACGCAATTAAAGTCACCTGCAGGTCGCTAACTGATTTTATTGTTGCTCATATACCGAGGTGGGAAGTGTTTCACATTTTGTTAGATGTCTGCCATCTTAGTGTCACCAGCATAAAGGTTCTCGGCTGGCTTATGGCGACCTGATAAATTACGTTCACAGTGTCAGTGAGGAGTAGCATCTCTAATTTCAACAATGTTTATTGACTTACCAACCAAATGTTCACTTCGTCATCTCTTCGCATTTGTGTTACCAGTAGCTTGTGCATCTCAGACTGTGACAACAAGTCGGCCGACATATTTTTATTACCCTTAACATCACATGTAGAGGGTAAATTCTAAATTTCCAATCTTGTGTAACGATTAGTCGTAATGTTTCACAACTAATACGGTCCGTATCAATAGTAAGGGTAGTTTTTCTTGGTACGTGCCAAAGTGGTTTGCATCCAAATATATCGCCAACAGTTTTCCACTGAAAGTCGTTACAATGCTCCTACCGTTGCAGTAAATCATAATTTATTTACGTAAGCATAGCATGCAGCCGTTTTGTCGGAAATAAATGTTGATAAGAATTACCATCCCATATTTCCGTGGTTTTGTAACTGGCTATATGAGGTAATGGAGATGGTCATAGCCCGACTCACTAGTAATTAGCAGACGATCGATTCAATGGGCCACAGAATTCGTCCATCGTTTCTTGTTATAATTCTGATCCCGACCTTTGTGATTTTCCGTTTATTAGTGGTCCCTTAGTAACACTATAATGTTTAACAAAATAACTCATTTTCGTGTTGTTATTTGTGGCTTTCTTCAAAGGTGCGTAATCTGTCATCAAAAACACATGAAATTATTATCCCTGTTGATACGACTGAACTAATGGATGATCCATTTGCAACTATTTTTATATAACCACATTGAGATATTTCTTCTGGTTAGCGTTTTTTAGAGAGTTAATTTTCCACGGGATGTGATCACTAACACTATGCCCAACCCTCCCTCTTTATCCGGGCTTGAGACTGGCAGTAGCCCCAAAAACGTTCCAGGCAGAATTACGTTGGAATTATTAGCTGGAATTTAATGTAATTCCAGAATAATTAACAAATTAAAATGAAATAAGAGTTCTATCTCAACGATAGGTGATGACAAGTCTTGATCTTCGCGATCAAAATTCTCTTTTAAAACCTAAGACCTTATGTTTTAATCTCGTTCGTAACTTCAATTCCTAACGTGGGCGTCAGGTCAAAATGGCTCTTATCGTCGCATATACGGAACGTCCTCGACTCGCATGCTCTCTGTGACAAATATTCCTTCCAAGTTGACCTTGCAAGAGCGACTTAAAGACTTATTTTGCAGGTTGGTGATAAGAGCTTTCAGCAAACTTAGATTAATTCCATCCGGCCTCATGTAGAGTGTTACCTTTTTCACTTTTAAAAAGGAAAATATTTAAGATATATATCTAAAGCCAAACAACAGAATCACTCCAATGTCTGACGTTCAATTCCTGTGATGAATGCTTGAAAACACTGGACCTCTTTCAAATAGGATTTGGGAGATTCAGAAAAGGTACAGTAATAAAGCGTAACTTCGCAAACTCTTGGATATCATCCGAACTGTTCACTAACAAACAACTTCCACAAATTTATAGAAGGAGTACTGGGATTCCAACAGAAAGGGATTGTTTTAAAGAATAGCTTTTATGAGAGAACAGTAGTCTATTCATGGAATTAAGTAACGTTCGAATTTATTTCAGACATTGATCTGGAAAGCTTATTAAGAAAACATGATTATCTTTCTTAAACTCAAAATGTCATCCACTAATAACTTATTAAAACTTTCTTTTTATTTCTATTTACGTATTCTGGGCCCTGACCTTAAGAAATAGACCGTGAACTGCTACTGTTGAGGGAGGCTCCTTATGAAAATCTAGTGAACGACACAAATGATTCTCCATATAACACTTAATTCATAGAAGATCCTAGAATTGCACTTTCCATCACCAAAAACGACCAACCTATCCACGTTTAGGATATTCTTAGTGTCTCTTCTCATGAAAATTCTTCAGTCAACAAATTAGATTCATCCTCGGGGTTTCCCCCAGAACGGGTGTTAACCTATCTATAGGATTATTCAAAATTGTCTCGGAGTTTACTTAGAATCGCATCTGGGTAAAAATGATGTTTTACATCCCCTTATCTCAAGAAGAGTACTACTTTCATGGAGCGTATTCAAAGAAGTGAAAATAAAAAGGGCATTCAAATTGGAAAACTACTCCTACTCGACTTGCCTAGAAGCCCTTATCTTACAGCCAGTGTATCATGGAAGGATAATGTGGTATATCATCATCAATAGTAATATTGCCCATAGCTCTCTGCCCTTAGAAAAACCACTGATATGTTTCAGTACTAGGTAGAACTTAAGAGGAGATTTACTCGATGTAGAAAACATGAGAACTAGCACAAAAAATTGAGCAAAGATTTCCGCAGCTTGAATCAGTGAGTTGTGAGACTACTGATAGCTATGGTAATGAACCAATTTTTTGAATCTTTTAAGGGAAAATTGAACGATTGCTTTACTCATATAGGTACTAAGAGGGATTGTTATAAGTGCAAGTCCTCGATAACTTATTCACATCTATATTGTCCTGTTCTTCAGTCGCTAAGAGGAATATAAAGACAAACACACTTCTCCATAACCTCTCTGTAGAGAATCATGTTTTAAGAAACAAACAATTTGCTAATTATGTCTGACAGATTCGAATCTGTAGGCTTCATCCAACTTCGCACCCCTTCATTTGAAACCATTTTCTTGAAGGTCACTCGCGCCGCTTGCGTCTGGGTTTTCGCGCTTTACTTGATTGGGATGACTGAGGTTCAGTCGAGTGCTGGTGCAGAACAAAAGTATGGGGGTGCTGAAGGGGCAGATGCTATGTATGTAAAGCTCGTATCGTCAGACGACCATGAGTTCTATGTCCGTCGAGAGCATGCTCTTACGAGTGGTACCATAAAAGCAATGCTTTCAGGTCCAGGTGGGTTAATTTGTTTTTATTTAACCACCATATTTTTTAAGTTAAAATTCGTTTTCACCATAAAATTCTAGTTAATTATCATAAACATTATTCATGCAGTTGTAAGCTGTGGCTGGTCCGGTTACATAACGTCCGTACATTATTGTAAGCAGTATTGAGATATATTGCGTCATAGTAATTTTTGAGTGTTATCGCCTCTTTCATAATTTATAAGGTTTTATTCCAATACAATTTCTGACACTTACCAAACATTCCTCATGACGTTTGGATCTGTCGTAACAGCTCAAAACTCTGCATTCCTATCAGTCTTCTGTTATAAGGATAGAAGGCCGGTAAACATGTGCTAATCCTTTCATCTTGTCTCCCAGTGAGAATTCAGCTTCCTGGGAATGTTCACCGATGAAGATGGTGTCACTTGTTCGAGTAAGGCGTTTCAGTCATTGAACACTCAAATAGAGAAGCAGAACACAGTTTATTATATCAAGGTTTTGCACCTTCTTGCTATGACCTCGAAGATTTTTAGTCTGGATGAAGCATCAAATAAGACCGTTTTTAAAGATATGAAGTGCCAATATAGGGTTACCTCGCATTCTGCGATACGACAGGAAAGGTTCAGGCGTCTTGAGCGCTCATCGTGAGTTTGGAAAGACTCCACTAACGTTTTGTTCTTTATTTGGACAAGTACGGCTATCGCATACCAACTATCCTTCGTAAGTAGTGCAGCTCGCAACTATTGTTTTTTGCTATATTCCGGATTTTTCGGTATTCACATTTAAGAAATTCGTAGCCTGTTAAGAATTCGTCCCAGAAGCGTTTCCTCAGCAGCTTTCAGGTCTCCTTATCGACCCATGGAGGGCAATATGATGGCTTACGTGCTAATCATGATGAAGATGCTGACAATATGCAGAGTCTTCTGACTACTCTAAGCAACGATGCAAGCATGTTCGGGATGCGATTCTCTCCCTCGAAATGCAAAATGTTGCTTCAGGATTGGGTTGCATTGACACCCGAACTAATGATAGGGAGTGAAGTAATTGAGCGTGTCGATCGCTTCACTTATCTTGGAAGTCGCATCAGCCCTTGTGGTCTGGTGTGTGACGAAATCTCAGCACGGATACAGAAGGCTCGACTAGCTTTCACCAACTTGCGTCATTTATGGCGTAGGCGAGATATCCGTCTATCAACCAAAGGACGTGTTAATGTGCAGCAGTCCGTTCCGTCCTGCTTTATGACAGTGAAGCATGGACGGTCAGAGTAGAGGATATTCGTAGGTTACTAGTATTTGATCATCGGTGTCTTCGAAACATTGCTCGTATATCCTGGCACCATCGAGTAAGTAATGCAGTTGTTAGGAAACGGGTACTGGATAAGGATGGAAAATCGATTGATTAAGTAGTGAAAGTTCATCAGTTGAGATGGCTGGGACACGTGTTATGTATGCCCAACGACCGACTGCCTCGACGTGCTATGTTCAGTGGTATAGGAGTAGGCTGGAAGAAAGCTAGGGGCGGCCAGACAAAAACATGGCACAAGTCCATGAAGTCACTGGCAAGTGGACTGAGTCATGTTGGTACGTGTAGACTATCTGGTTGGGGACCACGAGATGATAGCAACCGATGGTTAGATACCCTGAATGACATGGCTCAAAATCGTTTGCAATGGCGCAGATGCATACACTCTTTGTGTTCTCCCAAATATTAATCTCCTGATTCCTTGTTGTCTCTTTTTTCTCTTTCCAAATTTATTTCACTGTATTATACTCCTTGAATAACATCTTCAAACCCTAATGTTTCCGATTACTGCTTATACTCTTACCGCCTCTACCACTATGGGAGTTGAATAGACACCTACATCTTTGTGCTAATGTGGCGTGGCAAGTTGAACTGTTGTTGTTGATTACTGACTGGCTGGCATAAAAAAACTCATTAGCTTTCACATCAATATTTATTGTATTATATTAAATAATATCCTATCTCTTTTTTTAATACAGGTCAATTTCAAGAGAATGAAACAAATGTTGTACATTTTCGTGAAATACCATCACATGTATTACAAAAAGTATGCAGTTATTTCGCTTATAAAGTACGTTATACAAATAGTTCAAGTGAAATACCAGAATTTCCTATTGCTCCTGAAATTTCATTAGAATTATTAATGGCTGCTAATTTTTTAGATTGTTAATTCATTAGTTATTATTGTCACTAATTTTCCTTTATGCGCTTCGTTCTTTTTTGTTTTTGTTTTGTTTTATCCTAACAATTATCTTGTGGGAGTCCTCATTGGTTTGTTCTTATTATTACTATTCTTAATAAGCAACAACAAAAAACAGACAGCGAAAAATACCTTAATTATTCGTATTTCTTTAGTTCTTTAAGTGAATGTTTTTTTCTTCACAGACACAAAAAACATACCGTGATAATTAAAAAAATAATAACCATTACTATCCCTACTACCACTACTACTACTACTTCTGCCTCCTTTGTGCTTCCTTTGTCTGATTCTTAAACTTACTAAGGAACAAAAAATATATTAATACTTTCAACTTTATCATGTTGTTTTACAATTATACAATTTCATTGTGGGACTAGAGTAGAACAGGTTCATGTAATGGGATTTAAGTCGCATTTTCTAGCTGAACCAATAGGAAAGTTAGTCAATTGTCCAAACTGATTTTCATCCACTAAGTTTTGCGGTCGAAACCCTCTCCGACTACTGTTGTTTAGGTTGTCGTGTAGTATCACTAGCTCTCATATTTTAAGTGTGGATCGATGTCGAGTACACGAATCAATAAAATACTCGACTTTTAATAATAGTATCCTATTATAAGACTGTATGATACGATTATACTGGCCATGATGACCTTATTTAACCCTAGTAAATACTATGCCAATAAACTATCTAAATAAGAGTAAGCGGTATAAAAAACAACTCCATCCTAATCCACTGAAAGCATTGTAACATACAGATGACAGTTATTTCAGTGGGACGGTCCTTTTGAATGTCATTTTTAAAGGTGTATGTGTGTAGTGAATTGTTAATTTATAAAATTTTGTTTTCTCTTAATGTAAGGTTATGATGGTGATTTGTTTCTCTATTACTTATTATTCGTCACATATTTACTAGTTAGATTACCATTGGAAACTAGGGCGCACTTGGAAGGTACTTTGTTCGAGTAAACTGATCTGTAGCAGTGCTCACCCATAACCTCGTTCGGACTCGAACCGGGGACCTACATGTCTTATAGCGAACACTGAGTTACAGACTGATAGTACCAATTCCTATCGGTAGTCAATTCGTTATGCAATGTTTATTATACTCTCGACATGTCTGGACTTTGTCAGTCATAATTTATCATTAAAACCTAAGGAACTCATCTCAAAATAAGTCACTAGTGATTTCATGATTACATTTTTTATTTATGAGGTTAGTGGAAATTTGCATGTGACATTCGTTATGGATTGACTTAAGTCTTGGCACCAACAAAAATCATAATTCAGGAATTACATACCATAATAAATAGCTATCTAGTGCTCACTTGTTCTCAGGGATACTATTTGTATGATTGTTAGAATAGTAATATAGTGAGTAGAGCAGTCAAAAATATGTAGGGAATATTCATTTGATTAAACGAATCAGCTGGAATGATGAAGGTTAATCAAAGTTTGGAGTTGGCAACAATTTTAATCACATATAACCGAATACTTAAATCTTCTACAATCCCAAATCGATTTAGACGTAATTCTTTTGAAGTGTTCAAAGCAATCTTACGAAACATATCAATGAAATTATCTAATGTTGAATTTACTCTATGTTACTGGATAGAGGATGTAAATGATATATGTTGCTTTTTGTTAAACGATTTTGAATACGGTAAAGAAGAAGCTTCAACGAATAAATAAATAATTTGCTTCACAGAAGCAGTTGAACAATGGCATATACATTAAATTGGTCAGTTTACTGTAACTTATTCCTCATGAAAAGATTTGCCGCAAGAAATGTCTTTCAGATTGACATCTACTGATAATATCTATTGAATACAATATTCGACAGTTTGTGGAGAGAATATTTACAAGGTCGTCTTCAAATCGATTTAAACATTCAAGCTATTCACGTTTTGAAATAAGTAGTATAGTGATCCAACCACAATTTGATTCGATTATTAAAAGAGCGAAATTGCGCGACCATTTTCCATTGTACTGAGGTAGATACCTGTCCCTACCCGACACGGATTAGCTCCACTGGTCACAGTTAAGGTTAGACATTAACACTATTGAATGTCGACTCAGTGATTTAGAGATTGAGCGTTTGCACCTGAGACCGAAGGCCCTGGGTTCGAATCTCACGAGCGGGATCGTGAATGCACACTGCTGAGAAGTCCCACAATAAGATGAAACGGCTGTCCAGTGCTTCCAGGTTTTTAATAGTGGTCTAACATCAATCGTTTCATGATCTCAATCAAAAACCTAATAATCTCCACAATCTCATACTGATATTAAAAGAACTTGATAGCTTTAAATAAATTTAACATTAGGTAGAATGTTACGAATCTATTTTTGTGATATCCCAATAAGTAAAGAATTATAACTAGTTATTTATTTACTCTAAAAAAGTGACCTATATTAGGCAATAAGACGTCAGAAATTGGGACATCATAGAAATAAGAAATACATTGAAATGGGAAGAAATTAGTTGTAGCTATTTGTTTGCTTACTTGTAACTACCTACATTGACTTTTCTTATCATTACACTTAACAAGGTAGAATTTATATTATTCTGGTCAATTATTATCGATCGATAATAGGATTTTCATTGGGGACTGTCTGTCTTGAAATACTGTTTGCTCTGTTCCTCTCTCCCTATACATTACTTACGCCTGTTACCCCCAATAGAGCATAGGCTGACGACCAGCATTCTTCAACTCACTCTCTTCTGTCTGTCTCCACTTCTCGGTGACGTGTTCTTTGATCTTCTTCTCCTACTTTGGCCTTGAGGATTCCATGTGAGGATTTGTCTTGTGACGCAGTTGGGTACTTTTCTCAATATGTGTCCTATCCACTTCCAGCGCTTCTTCCTCCACTGGGATCCGGTTTCCTCTTTCCCATAGTAGGTTGTTGTTGATAGTATCTGACCAACGGATCCAAAGCATTTTTCATAGACAACTGTTAATAAACACTTGTATCTTCTGGATAATGGCTTTCGTAATTGTCGAAGTTTCTGCCTCATACAGTAGAACTGTTTGACGTTTGTATTGAAAATTCCGATTTTGGTGTTGGCAGTTGACAGAGAGTTGTTTTGAGTTCCATATGTTCTTAAATTGTAAGTATACTGCTCTTGCTTTGCCGATCTGCGCCTTCACATCTGAATCAGATCCACCGTGTTCATCAATGATGCTGACCAGATATGTCAGTTTTTACATCTTCAGATTCCTATTCTACTACCTTAGAGGTTAGTGTCAACTTGAAAACATAAATACTGTCATTTATTGAACAAAGCATATCGCTTTTCAGCTGGCTTTACTCCAAGGTTATATACTAATATGAAGATGAAGTTATGTATGCGAACATTTCAGCAACGGAAGTTGTTCGGTCTCTTAAGATGACTTCACTTCAAAATAAACTTACGAAACGTGTTATGCTACTTAATAGTATTAAGTAGTACGTGTCATTAGCGTTTCATATTGACTTTCGGTCAAAGTCAACAATGTTTTCGGTGTTCCATTCAGATAATAAAAAATAGAATGAAAGTCTAGTACTATGGTGGAGTCAGAAAAGTCAGTTCTCCTGTTCGACCCAGTCATTATCATGATCTCATTGGTTGACCGATAAGGTATTCCAAAAGACAATAAGACCATTGAGAAGAAAGATTTATAGTCAAAATCCTAACAGAATTTGCAACTTGCGTAAATGTATATACTTGCAGTTTGACAGGGACATATGGTCAATGGCCTGGGTTAGGCAAATATTTAAGTTATTCACAAACTATCTCCTCGCTTTTGCGAAGCATAAGGTGATTGTGTCTTCTCAATTATGCGGCTATTTGAATGGTCCTCCTCGTCTTCCACACTGTTCGGACATTCCGTGTGCCTAATATTAATTGTTGTTCTGGTTATCAGAAGGGGCGTTTTCCATATAAATTACTAAGAATCTCGACTTTCGCCATGAGGACATCTTAACACTTCTAAGTGAATACTGTTCTACTGCCAGGGCATAATATAATTTATTTTTTCTTGGTTAGCATATTTTCGTGACGGCTTTCTTTACAGAGTAGGATAGCTAATCTCACGTTCAATTCTTCTTCATTAGTAGGGCTTTGGACCAACAGTTATTCTAGAAGGGCTCTGTTCTATCACACTTGATCAATAGAGGTCATGTGGTATGTTGTGTCTTGAAACGAATGGCCAATATCAAGTGCCAAGTCACCTATAAGAAACCTAATTATAATTTTTGTTAACTGCGCATCTACTATTTCCTCCATAGTTTAGTGTACCCCACCAACACTACTAACCAGGTACTACGACGTAGCTAAATTCCTACTGAAACATTATTCCCAAGGTTCTCTCAATACCCTGCCTTGAGTTCAAATAGTCAGCTGCTAATGTCCATTATAATACTTCAAACAGACATGCTGGACTGTATCACGCCATAAACGAGCCATAAGTGGTTGTGAATGTGACAGGGTGCTATTAGAACACAATGGGAATCTTTAATATTGTAAAATACAGAACTGTATAACAGTATCTAATGAGTTAGCCAAAAGCTTATAATAAATGAAAAACACAACTATAACAATCCAGATACTTAGCAGCTATACAACAACAAAGAATAATAATTCGAAAACCAGTCCCAAATTTTACAATATTCTTTCGTTTATTATTATATCTTGATAAGAATAATGAATGGTAACTGTTGAAATCTATTTGTATGACATTCATGTCACTTATAAGATCTTACGAGGAAGTCACATCATTGTCTTTACTGAATCTTCGTATTGTGACAACCAACGATATGATGTTTAACACATTCGAGCTGGGGATAGAATAATAGATTCAATGTGAGTGAGGATAAGTTACATAGAATAACCGCACCCACAAGGTCGAGTCATCCCATAC